TAACAGCTAAATTTCCTTCCACCAGGAATTCTGAGATAAGCTAATAAGAAATTTGGGCTTCAACAACTCATTTTCAAATATGAGTATAATTAGGAGGAATTTCTATATGAATACAAAATATAAAAAATCAGAATTAGAAGAAGTAACTATGCAAATAAAATAATACAAAGTCAATCAGTAGTCTAAAAGGAAATCTTGAAAAGAAAAAAATAAACAGCATAACAAAATCAGTGCAACTTAGAAAATAGCCCCTTCTCTGGGGCACTGTGTGGACAGAACATATATTATCTTTTCCTGCCATGCCTCTGTAGGCCAGTCAAGTAATTGTTAAAATTATAGATGCTGTATCAATACACATTAAATAGGCATACTTATACCACGCCAAATACTGTCTCTAATTCAAATGATGGCTAAAAGACAATCAAGATGCTTTAGATTTGGCTAACTGTAATGCTAAAATATAAGTATACATCAAATTTTCCTACATTTCTTTAAAAGCTCATTTTCAACTCCCATCAAATAACATGCTCTATAAAGAACTTTGTAAAACTATGTTGTAGTATGCCAAAATCAAAATGGATGTTACCCATAGTATGGCTTTTCATCAGAGAGATAAACTGGGTACTTGCCACCGTATAAGGATGTGTTAGATTAACACTTTAGCAATATTTATGTATAGATGCTGGCATAGGGGAAAATAATTCCATCCATTTTCAGTAATAGCTTGGTAAGCCAAAAGTCTCTACACAAATGATTCTGAATGATAGACACCCAACATTCACCAAAGCCATGTAATCAGAGTAGTGGCAGATAGCAGGAAGATGCTATTTAAAAAGTTATCCTTCTTTTTATAAAACTGTATTTTTCTATGTTTATGATAAATCTCTCTTGAATTATGCCAGTCTAAAAAAGGAATTTCCCTGATACATTGTTAGGGAAATTGCAATGAAAAATTAGTTTGCCTTTTGTTTCTTAAAATAGTAATTCACCAAACCTACAAAAATTTAAATATTATAGAGCTAATTTATCAGGGTCATATAAATACACTATTTTCTTACAGCAAGGATGTAATTCTACCATATTTATTTCCGATGAATGTACAAGATAAGTGAACTTTTTGTTTTCCCAGATTTGTTCAGAAATCTGAATATGATGTAAGTAGTTAAAACCATAGTTCCATTACAAAGATGAACTATACAAAAATGTCATGTAGTAGCTTTCTTTCCCATATTGAAAACTTTGATGAAAATAACTTTGTTTTAAAATTAAAGAAGTGGTATAGACCATAAAAATGACACTTGCTCAAGTTCTTAACTTTGTTATGAGTAATGCAATCTCCGTTTTTGAAAAAGGGTCAAAGGGTTTAGTAATCAGGACCAAGAATGCAAATATTACCTAACATAATAACTCCTCAAATCATTTAATCTGTCACCCAGGAGCACTTCTACTTCACAAGTCGGATCCTGAGATACAATGGGTAAACTGAAGCTGGACTCTGTTGAATGTATTTTTATAACACAGTTTTTGATTATTTGTGAACATCTGGAATTTTGCTAAATTTGGCAACATTAAATACTACCAGTTGAATGAAAAATAAGAATGGGGTGTTATTTTCCAAAGGTCTTTAGGATAAAAAAGGATTTCAGGTTCTTTTTTCCCAAGGCAGTTTATGTTAGTGAGTACAATTTATATTATGGAAAGGGATGGGGGAGTAAAAGCGGAATCAGGCCCCATCAGAGGTCAACAAAAATGCTCATAAAGGATGGGATGGAGGCACAGATCTACATGAACACACAGTCTAAACACTGACTTGTTTTGAAATCTTTTCAACATGCTCTTCTTTTATTTCTTTCTTAAAATGTGCTTTTGATGTTTCCTTCTTCAAATAATAGGAAATAGTATAGTCTTAAAACTATACTTTGAAGAATTTGTTTTATCAGCAAGTTAAATAATTGCTTACATAATAAGCATGGTCAATCTGCAGTGTAATATATTATGTTTCAGAAAGCACAAAAATGATTAGATGAACATACAATACTTTTAAGATAAAACCACTCAGTTATTCAGAAGATAAAGCACAACTCAGTATTGTTTAAAGTGGACTGAGAGGTGACAGATGATTATGCCAGTACCAAATGGCAATGCTCTCAGTTATTTCTTCTCATGTGGATAACATCTCTATGAGCTGAAACTTTTGATAACTACTGTTTGGGATTTCATTTTCACTTCTGTTATCATTATTGATGAATATTAACTCCATTAAAAATAATAGCCAACTAAAAAGAGCTCAGAGAGTGTAACAAAACATCTTGATCATTTATCAGACACAGCTTGGTATTAGTTCCAATTATTATATATATTTGACAGTAAATTCATATCTTACAGTTTATCCAGTAAGTATAAAACTACAATGTAAAAAATAAAGTTAGGCAATGTCTTTTGTTGAATATTTTCTATTCTTAAATAAAGCTGTTGAGTCGCACTGCAACCAATGATAAGACACTAAAAAGGCAGGATATAAATATATATATATATATTTCTCCAGAAAATTAAAATCCATTGTAAATATATTTTGATGACAAACTGAGGACATTTTCCTAACAATATCTGCCATATTATAAAGCCTATGCTTTGTTAAATGTCCATATAAATTCTCCAATAAAGGGATTGTATTTTGATTGCATCAACATTCCTATATCTTAAAAGTATGACTGCTATATTCCATCAAGATCCTTAATTAGTTTAATTTTCTGAAAATAAATTTCTCAACTTCAGTGGAATTTTATAAAAGTAACTTCCGTTTTGCTTCCAAGTGCTCAGAAAGTGTGCATTTAATTATTCTAATCCACTTATATACGGAACATGTGAACTAAATCAAAGTCATATATTTTACTCAGGCATTGTGATTCAGTTTCTTAAATCATTTCAAAAAGTAGATTCTTACCAGCATTTTACACCTATGCAATAAAAATACCATCAATAGTTTTAACATTTCTTCATTCGTTTTCTGAAAGCAAAAATAATTTTCAAAATAAAATAAAGATTTGTAAGTCATATCAGGGAAAAAACAATACTAGCTTCCCCTGTCTAGAGTAGAATTTCCAGCCAGATGTAATTAGCAGCTCATCAACATTCATTATAATAATAATACCCATATTAAATCATATAGACAATGCGCAGCATTAAAATGACTCACTGATACTTCAGGAAAACATTGTCATTTATATCAATTTTTTTTAAAGTGTATTTCGTTTTAACGCTTCTTCCTTTATTCCCCCTTAACATGGAGTCCTCTTATATTGTTGTTCACTTCTACTTTGAAGTCATAATAATGTTCTGCAAGATCCAATTTTTCTTAACAATGATTTCAAGTAACAAAAAAGCAAAAAGCAAACGAACAAAAACTCTCTGACAAGGAATAAGCACCAAAACTGCTAAGGTATTCTGCATCTTCTTCATAATGTCATACAATTACAGAAAGAATTCAAAGGAAATAGAAACAGGAGGACCTGGATTTTCATTAACTCAATTTTGAAAGCGTACCAGTAGGTCTTCAAAAAGTATGTAAAAGACTAAATCGAAATCATAAGTCATTGTATTTTACTTTACTATAATTACTTAATTAGTAAAAAGTTTTTCCCATATAAAATACTCCATTAGTTAGCCACATGATAACATGAGAAACCCTGTTCAACACAATATGTCTAATAAAATTAAGTTGACTTTAACCACATTGTCATTTAAAGAAGCCAATTAAATTAGTCAGAAACACAAAACTTAAACAGCAGCCTTGGGAATAAGTTTTTTATAGCCGTTCTTGAACTGATGACCTATGCAAGAAAAGTAGCATAAAGCTGAAGAAAGGGCAGTAACATCACTCCCTGGCTTATCTGAGAATGCACAAAAGTAAAAGGCTCTAACCATCTTATTTTATTAGATTCTCTAATACATAAAAAGCTGGCACTTTCCTGCAGTTTGATTAACATTATTAATCATTCAATTTCTTTCATTTTTTCTGCCACCTAAAAGATCTTAATTCTAGCCCTAAAATTCTATTCTAAAAAACACATCAATTCAGAGTATGTCCCTTTGGTTGCAAAACGTCAATACTCCAAAATAAAAGAATGCACAAAAGATTCTAGAAAGAAGTCTGAACCTAAAACTCTATAATACAACCAGTCCTTGGTGACCATCCATCCCACCAGGTACTACTCTACATTCTACTTTTATTTAAGGGATATAGGCACATTGCCTGATGGGAACAAGAGTTTCTAAAAATTGTGAGGATGGCAGTCATTTGGTTTTTAATTTGAGACTATGAACCTGAAGTCTTAAACATGCAAATATCACTCCACTACATTTTGTAGTTGAACAGTTTCAGCCCTCAAGTTGTAAAGCACTACAGAACTTATCAGCCATAAGGAAATGCAAATATCTGAATATGCACGTATACATTGCAAAATCCTTTGATAATGATATCTACAAAGATATGTTTTATAATGTTGTAAAATAAGAATTATGGTTCTTAGAGGAAAAATACATCCCCTAAGCATATATTTACATGAAAATAATTCAAATATATATGGAAACTTTTCTTTTGAATACATAGAAGCGCCTTCTACACTTTTCAATATACCTTGTGCATATTCATATCTTTATTTCAGCACACATTCTGTGTTTTTCATTGTCACTATATTTTATGCATCTATACACATACTATGGTAAATCTTTTCCTATATTTAGGAATTCTAAAATTTATTTGTGTATCACTTTCAGGCATCAATACTCAACATTTGCCAGCAACTTCTAAAGTACTACAGTATATGTAGCAGACCCATTTCATAAGTCAGAACAGTCCTTCAAAGCCATTTAAATAGTTTTCCTGAAAACAATTAGGAAAGGCAAGTATTATTTTCTCTTAATAACCAGATATCTTAATGGCTCCCTAATCACCTTCCCTCATACCCAACCTTCCTCTCATTCCCCTTGATGGTACCTACCCTAGAGTTGTCATGGTGACAATGGTATACCAGAAGGCAGCAGGGATGCTGGTGAACTTGCTAGCTGAAGACCCTTTCTCTGCATAGAACATAACTGTAGCAAAAATGATGATAGCCATGGTGAGTGAGAAGAGCAAAAAGCCCAATTCTGAGGCACAGCTCTTCAGTGTGTATCCCAGGATGCGCAGGCCTTGAGAGTGGCGGGAAAACTTAAAGATACGGAAGACCCGAAAGACTCGGAGTGTGACAAAGGCTCCGCTGACATCCTCATTGTCCGTCATTACCAGCCCAATGTAATAAGGTAGGATGGCCACCACATCGATGATACTCATGACACTACGCACAAAACGGTAACGACTGGGTGCTGCAGCCAGGCGAAGCAAGTACTCAACTGTGAAGATCATGACGCAGGCTGTATCCAAGCAGAAGAAGGCCACTGCATATCGCTCGCCACAGGGCAGTTCTTTAATGTGACCTGGGCTAGACCCACACGGCACTGTTTCCACCACATTGGCGATGACTGAGACGGCAATGAAGAACCCCGTAACATAGTAGAACACCAAGGCCATTGTGCTGGTGTGGGGGTTCTCAAAGGCCCGCCAGACCCTCTGCCGAGCAGTCATGGTGGGCAGCGCACTCTCGCCCGTGTTGTCCGTGTCAGCGTCGTCCTGTAGACGCTCAGCGTTCTCCCGCCTGCGATCCTTGTACTCCTCATAACAACAGTCGCCAATAATTTCTGGGATGAGGCCAAAGAAGGCCAACTCTTCATCATAAGCAGAGATGCACTCATGGCGAGGATAGTGGAGCTTCCCAGTGCGGTAGAAATTCAGGATGTGGCGGAAGATGTCTGGATCACGGTCAAAGAAATACTGCTGAGTCTCCGGATGGTAGAAAAAGTCCCTCTCAGAGCTTCCCAGCAGAGTGTCTGGGTAGCGTTCCAGGGTGTCCTGCCATGTCTGGAAACGGGTGCCACTAACATTCAGCACAATTAGAGCATCTTGAGTCCTTTTTCTTTCCTGTCTCGGAGGAGCTGGCATGGGCCCCGAGGCCACAGGCATCCACCCGATGGCCGCTGCCCTGGCAAAGGGCAGCCATGCTGCTACCCCTGCTGCCATGGTTCCTTGGGGTCAAGGCGAGGAGAGGGGTAACCAGGCCTCTGCAGTGGGTTGAAATAGCTACAAACACCCGCTTTCTCCCTGCAAATAAAATACTGCTGAGAAACGTGGTCCAGAGGTATCACCGATTTCAAGGTAGGTCTCCTGGTGAAGTTACAGTACTCAGAAAAGCAAGTATCCAGGAAAGACAAGTATTTAGGAATAATAACAAAACAATTGTAATGTCCTAACAATCACCACCAACAGAACCTTACCAAACCTCTTTCAGCAACAGAAACTGGCCACCCCCGGCACAAATCGGCACGCAGGTGACTTGAGGTGCAGCAGTTTCTTCAAGCAGGTGTTTGTGATTTCTCCCCCCGGACACAGTCTGGATAATGAGGGGTCAGTATGCGTCGTGTAGGATAGAGAAGAGGAGGAAGGACAGTCCCCCAGTGATAGTCTTTTGACGAATTAGGGAACCTTTCTCTCTTCTCTTTTCGCTCTTTCAACCCTTCCCTTTCCAAGTGCCCCTTCCCGCCAAAGGAGTCTCAAAATGCGACCTGTTGTAGCTTCTGAGACACGGCCACGGCCGCTGCCCCACGTCTGTCTTTGGGAGTCCGGTTGCCGCCTCAACTCCTCGGGCGATATTGGCAGAAATGGAGGTGATGCGCGGTGGGCACGGCGGGGGACGTTAATACAGATGCTCCTCCCCCACGTCTACAAGCACCCCGTGTCCGCCAAAAGCGTTCGCCCAATCGCCCCTTCACTCTCTTTTCAAGTTCAGCTGAGGTGCAGTGTGACAGTTAGAGAGCCCAGGAGCTGGCAGCCGCCGCCGCCGGGGCAGCAGCAGCATCTGCCACCGCGCAGAACGCGCCTCTCCCGCGGTGCATACCTGGCCAAGTGCGTGCCGGGGCTGAGTTGCATAGAGACTTTCTCCTGGCGGTGCACTCGGAATGGGGGAAGCCGAGACAGCAGCTCCCGAACCGCTGAAAGCAATCCGCCGAGAGCGCATAAATAAAGCTGCAGCGAGCTCTTCTTCCCCCTCCCCCACCCTCCCAGGCGCCCTCCTCCTTTTCACCTTCCAAAAGCCTGGCGCTGGCGAGCGGAGCAGCAGCAACAAGTTCAAAAGGTGCGGGGGAGGCGAGAACCGAGGGGACACGCTTCCGCCAACTTACCGCGCGGCCGCTGTCGCCGGGCCCGGGGCGGCACTGCGGTGGGCTGCGGGGCCCCGGGGCTGCGTG